CAGGGGCCATGTCTAGGAATGACATCTCCCCAGTCAGCTCTTCCATGCTCCACAACTTAGTTTTGCACCAGTCAGGTTTCCGTGGCGGGGGGAGAGTAGGGTAGGTTCCGGTTAGGGATTCCTCCCCCTCAGATCCACCTACGGCCCCGGCCACGGGGCACTCCTCCTCCATTTCCGCAGCCGCGGTCGGTTTTTCGAGGGATTTCTCCACGGTGGTTGGTTCCCCAGTAAATCCCTCGTAAAGTGGAGGAGACTCAACAAAATGTCAGAGTCTGCACACTCAATCCCAAAATTCAGTAAACCCTCTGGAGACCAAAAGTTCCATCAGAGATTTCTTTATTCAGGAGAAGCATACAGCGTCATAGTTATTCTACATAGCAAAGCCTTTTATGGCAGGTCAAGCAAACGGTTAGAATAACATTCCCAGTATTTCACTATTGATCTATGGTTAGCAATAAAAGCAAAAGTATGGTTAGCAATAAAAGCAAAATAAAAACAATTGAAGGTTCTGGTTTGCGTAGATCCTGACACATGAAGGTTTTCTGACCTGCCATTATTTTATTTGTTAATACCTTTTTGAAACCTTAGTGATGGGGGGAAAAATATGCTGAAATTCAAAAACTAAACCATAAGACTACAGAGGCATGAAGCCTAATGGCTTCAAAGTGGAATGCACTTAAAAACTTTATTATTAACAAGATTATTATTTTCTTCCAGGACACTGTAGTTGCCCTACAAGGTTTAGCCAGGTATGCAGCCTTGACATACATTGAGATAGAAAACCTAAAGGTGGTGGTGAAATCCAGCAAAGGCTTCCAGCATGAATTCCATGTGAACAAGAAGAACCGGCTGGTGCTGCAGCAGGCCTCCCTCCCAAAGAACCCCTGCCAGTACCAGGGGGAGGTATCAGGGGATGGGTGTGCTTATGTGCAGGTGAGCCTAGAGGGGTCAATAATAAAAGCTTGTGTGATTTTGGCCTTTTACCCACTGAGAGCAGCATTTAATACTCAGAGGGCGATACCTTGAATTTGAGGAATACCAACTAAATAAAATCCACATGTGTGGTCTTGCCCTACAACCACAAACTTCCCCAGCTAATATCTACTGTAATGCATTGGCTGTCCTTATTACTGTATGCTATATCTCAGCATTGGCAGATAAAGGTTCATGTGAACTTGTTAGCAGGGGCAGTGACAAAAAGAGTTAGATAAATTAACCTCCATGATTTCAGAATATGTACACTCCACATCCCCATGAACATATTTCACCTTTAGAAAATGCCCATAGTAAGATCTTGATTTTACACACCCCCATTCAGCAGGCTTCAGGTGACTGAAATGTGAGCTCAGACTTCACAGACAAAATCTATTGTTTCTTAAGCTGTCCAGACAGTATTCATATATTTACATAATTTATATAAATTATGTGTGAGTTCTGTAAAACCTGCATACGTTTTCTTAAATTACATAAATTATTAAATTACATGCAATTTATGTATATTATATAAATTTTGATTTAATGGACACCCCTTCCTCTCGATTGGTTTTTAACATTGGGGTTTTATGCAATTTGCTTTGAGGGCAGCAGGATTAGTAAACGCCATTTTATTCATACGTTGATTGTATTTGGTCAACATTGTTGCCCCACATTACAACGCAAATTGGAATACAGCAACTAATCTTTTCTTCCAATTAGACTATCCTTCGATATAACCACCTACCACAGAAGACAAATATTTTTACTTTGAATGTGGAAACATTCCCAAAAGAATGCAACTTCGCGTCCAGGAAGTATTTTGGCATCCAGCTACAAGTGAGGTATGGTGGATTCTTCAGCTCAGGATAACTTCATTAGCAGTTCCCACACCTAATGAGAGCCACTTGCTTTTCCTGCTAACATTGTTACTTATGGTTATAAACTGCTGGGAGTGCTTGGTAGATTCAGTGGCGAACAAATGAATGAACTTCTGCTCCCAGTAAATTATTATCTTCCCCAGCAGAAAGTTTCCTTTTATTTACCACTATATAACTCATCCCATTCAGGTAAACCAGATAACTGGCCAGCACTTTGAACTGTAGCAGAGCTGAATACTGCACCACATTCTCATTCAGAAGTGCCCTTCTTCATTAGGAAACATGTTAGACAGGCCAGCAAGATGTGTGGCTAGCTGCCATGATAACTTAACTCCTTCTGCCTTGGTTGCTCATCTTCTTTCAGTTAGTCCAAAATGCTGAGTAATGCTCAGGGAAAACTTTGTATTTGGGGTAATCTAAGATAGTGAGCAGCCAAAGCACAGCAGAACTGCTAGCACCTTGAAAAACAAAAATTGCTTCACACTTTGCAGGCTCAGAGAATCATCATTGGAGAAAAGGAGTCTGTGAGTCTCTTGAACCCAGAGAAAGGCCACTGTCATATGCCTTTTTTCAGCTGGATTCATATTTTCCAGAATTTTCAGCATTGCGGTTTTGACTGAGAATTCTCTTGTTTCTTTGTGTAGCTACATAGGCCAACGAGAGACAAGCAATATGGCCCTAATAGAAGTGAATTTAGTATCAGGATTTATTCCTGTGAAGAAGTCTCTGAAAAAGGTGAGAAAGTTTTAACTTTCATCTTCTGCTGTTCCTCAGGTATGTTAAGAAACATTTTTAGCATTTGTGGTAACAATTACCCTTATATATATTAAGATGACCCCAGTCATCTCAGCCCGCCCCACTCGGTCCAGCAGAAGGGGCAGGTTCCAGACCCCACCCATCAAGGAATTTCGATAGGTGGGGTCTAGGCAGAGAACCTTTTCTGCTGTAGCGCCCGCCCTATGGAAGGAACATCTTGCCGCCTGAGGTGCAGTGTGCCCCCTCCCTCGTGGCCTTCAGGAAAGAGATCAAATCCTGGCTCTGCCAGAAGGCCTGGGGGCCAGAGGGGGACCCGCCCCTGTGGAGATGGCTGGTGGGGTGAGGGGTTGTCCCCCCCCCGGCATCTTACAGGTTTTTTAGGGCCAAATTATAGGTGGTTTT